AGTCAAAATCTACAACCACTGGCAAAATCTGTCAAACATAAAAACTGGCCGTGTAATAATAACTGAACATGAGCAGGTTATCACATAAATGGTTTGTATCGGGCCAGTAACAGCTACAGGGGGACTTTGTACGGTGAGTTGAATGTCAATATGAACAACACGAGCAGCACTTGATAATGTATTTATGGAATGTATACACCTTCTTGGTGTGATATTTCTTATTAATGATGATTAAATAGTCATGTGTGACGCGCACGTTTAACGACATTTGCCACCCATCTTTGTTTCTACCTCTGCAACTTTGTATGACACATGGGGATAAAACCAGCATTCATGACATTTGCTTAAAATATTAATTAACTGATAAAAGAAGATAATGAGAACCAGGAAAACGTTTGCCAATGGAATTTAAAACAACGTAATTTGACCTTTTTACAGAAATGGACTAAGGGAAACATGAATGTTTGCCTTTGGAACCTTTTTGTGAATATTAAAACTTGGTCAATATGACATGACTTCTTTTTGTACTTATGTAAATATCACGTAAACGTTGATGACACTGATGGTTTTTACATAGCACGGGCTTATTTACTATGGTATACACATGTGTCGACGATGGTTTTTAAAGGAGCTCTGTCTCATTGTAGGAAAAACACTAGATAACTCCACTTTACTTTTTCGCACATGCAGTCACCTTCCCTTATTTTCGTTTTGTAACTACTTGGTGTAGCTTAGACGGTAAGAAGGACAGTATCATCGTCCACGTTTCCAATCCTAGTCTCTGACTCCATTTAAAAAAAAGAAATTTACACTTAATACACGGTTTGTGTGTGTTTTACGTCCTATTAAGGTAATAGGATTGTGTCACCATTTCTCGGTAGAATTTCTTCCAATTTTGTAGTTATATTGCGTTGAAGTAAAGAAAATTTTCTGCCACAAAAAAAATAAAGGTTGTCAGAATTTAAAGGATTTGAAATGAAAATTTATGTAAAAAGGAGAGAGTTTTGAAAAAAAAATGAAAGACACAATTTTAGGCAAAATAATGTCAATAAAAATGATACTGACATAGATTAGTATTGCATTAATGTATATCAATTTAATAAATGCTGAAATTGTGTAAAACTAATTATCTATAAACGTTTCAAAATTGACATTTTATAATAAATAATAAATAATAATAGTAATTGCATGTAAAGAGTTATCGTTCTTGAAAAACTTCACAGTAGTGAAATAGGTAGCCGGGTTCCTGAAGAACAGAAAAATGGACACATGTGACTCATTGATAAAAAACAACTGAATTAATGCCTGGATTGCTTTGAAATACTTTAATATTGAGAGAACACACTGTTCTGTCAATAATAAACATGCAATATTTATCAGTTTAATATTGAACATCAGAATATGCGGAAATTGTGATACTGTCTCCCTACATTGAATTTTCAACTAGGGATGCACTTCCTATTTCCGTTTATCAATACACTCCTATGACGTTTCACATATTAGTTATATTAATCATATTAATTATAAATAGAACAAACGCAAGGTATGGTTGTTATTTCATCAATGATTTATCAAAGCTTAGTCATGCCGATAGAAGTATCATAAGTTCCTAATCAGTATTTCATGATCATGAAAATAGGTCCGGTACACGGCATAATTCACTTGAGAAAACGGGAGGTGTTTCTATATCGATTAAATCCTGGGTAGAGGCGTGAGAGAAAATAGGATTCACATAAACACTGAGACCAATATCAGTTGAGCAAAATTAGAGGTGACATACCGTATGTATATATATGATAATTAATTTCCTTAGTCACACTGTGCTTCACGTTTTGATATAGACAAACAGTGTGTTTTATGTGTATTTTTGTACGTATGTTTATATAACTACCAATCGACCACTTGTATATGTTTTTGAAACTCTTCAGAATGGAGGGAAAAACAGAAATAATACTGGTCAAGTTCATGTGTTATCCCATGAGTAGATTTTTGTCTGAAAGAATTTTACAGAAGATCTTGATTTTAATATTTGATAATTTCACCTTTCATATTTTTTTCTGATCGATTCTATCTCTACAATTCTGTAGATTCGCTCTGCTTTTCGTGAAGTTTGGAGCAAATCACGTTGTAATATAGGTAAGTCATAATTATCTACTGATATTCTGTGTGGTGTACAACACGTTGTAATATAGGTAAGTTATAATTATCTACTGATATTCTGTGTGGTGTATAAAAATAGAATTTATGAATAAAAAATGAGAGCATAAATATATATATAATCTCACATAATAATATTTTATACAGATACAGAGGAAAAGGGTTTTACGTTTTAACGGTTGTATTAGTTAACTTAACCATTTCACCACTGTAGATCATAATGGACTCATCCCGATAATGCACGGTAAAAGAGTCCATGAAATTACCTAGGGTTGAAAGGGTTAAACCAAATGAAAGGGTATGGGCGGGGTTTTGAGACGATTTGGAGGGGAGAAGAGTAGCATTTTCTTTTAAAAATAAGGTAATGCAACATTCTAATAAAGAGTATACAACAGTTTTATAGCGACGACATTATGTAAAGATTGTACTTGATCCATTTTTATTAAACCTGAACCAAACAGTTATGAAATTTATTATTATACAAATGTAAATAATTCATAATTCAGGTAAAAAGTCACTGAGATAAGAGAGAGGAATTCGGAACAGTCGAGCTATATAAAGGACAACATCCCCAACACTTTATAAACTATCACCGTTTCAAACGATTGAATTTAAAAAAGGGAGAGAGGTTTGGGGAGAGATGTACAGTCAATTAGATATAAAATATACAGATACGGAAAATAAGACTTTATATTTATTTCTCTATATTAAAAAATTGATTCCTTACAAGTATATATGACGTCATAATACCTTAGCAAATATTTAGAATTATGCTCATCAACTCATTCACCCCTGAAAACACATTTGAACTCTTCCAATTCAAAGGTTAGAATAGTTCATAATGAAACTTCAGGGGTGAATGAGTTAATCATAAATTTTTCAATTATTGAAGTTTTAAATGGAATATTTCCATTCGCTAGGCGACAACACTAGATAATACTGCAATAACGTTCATAGGACCATGGATGTTTATCACGTAAAAACTTCGCGCGGTATTCAGTTTTTCTGTCATATCTATGGCATTCACACTTTCATGAATACCGCTTCATATGGGGTCCCTACAGTTGTGTGGTCAGTTGTATGATGTAAGTAATCGTTCTGTAATAAACTACCAAGTAATGGTCAGTCATTGATGACCCCTGTGCCACTGGCTCTGTTCAACAGTAGCATCCATAATGTATGGTCAGCACTCCCCTTATTTGGTCAATCGACGCCAGATGTGGCCGGAGCTCTAGCTAATGACTATTCAACTACAGGGAAGGGCATTACAGGGTGCTTATCTGAAATATATGCGTTTTGTCAATGAGTATTTTAATCTTCATTAATGCGTAAAAGTTGAAACAGTGCATACTCATGTAACGTCGTGAGGAACTCCGGAGAAAAGATAAAGAGAGGTGGCGAAGGGATGACGGGAAGAGCATTTTTGAGTCAAGTAGCAGAGAGTGACGACGAGTGAGGATATATACGGAATAACGGAAGAGAGGTGGGTAGAGATATCTCGGCAAACGAAACGTAATATATGTTCTCAATTGGTGATACATTATTAGCCATTACAATCAGTTTATAGTGGGATAGAGCTGTCCCGCTCCCGTTACGGAGGCACGGTAGTCCAGTGGTAGGACGCCGGGCTCGTGACCTAAGGGTTGCGGGTTCGAGTCACGGCACTGTGTTGTATCTTTGAGCAAGATACTTTACTCCGTTTGTATCAGTCTACTCAGCTGTAAATGAGTACGTGGGCAGTGCTAGAATTGTTGAATGCTAGCTGTTAGCGCCGAAATGGCAGCTCCGGTTGTATGCTCCCCAGTGAGTTGAAACAGGTATTGGCTGGTTGCAAAGGCCCTATAACCACGGATAATAATTTGTGAACCGCTTTGAGACGACCTACGAACTAGGTTGTGATAAAGCGGTTGATACGAAACTCGAATTATTATCATTGTTAGACACATGCCTCTTCACGATTAATGGTTGCAGTACCATAACTGCTCATAAAGTGTTAAATAGAAGTACATTGTACCTAATGTGAAAGGAAGTTAATGACCTTTAAACCACTCCCATAAATAACAACTTTATGGTACAGTAAGTCAAACAACCTGGAACAGAATGACCTTGCCAACAACATCGCACCACTCTTTCTATTTTTTTCCCTGCAACATATTTTGGCAAAGTCAGTCACAAAGAGCACTTACATCTTCCATGGGTCAATGCATTCTAAATTGCAATACATTGGACGCATACATCAAAACAGCCTTACAAATGAAGACTTCCCTGGGTATCAATGGGAAAATGAGGTTTGTTTTCGTGAGAAGATTAAAAAGTTCATCGAATGTTTTTAATAGTTTTTCTCTCCTTTGTTTTATTTTGATTTTTTGTGTTCGAGGCGGAAGTCGGCGATTGTCTTGCTTATTCACGTCGACCGAACACAGACTTGTCAGAGATCATGAAGGAAGACGAAAAACCCGTAACCAACCAACCAACCAACAAATTGAAATAAAAGTATTATGAAGGAATAAGTGATCAGATAAAAGTACAGTTTAAACCTTTAACAAAATGAATTGAAGACAATTGGCTTTAAAGAGGGAATACAAGGAAATGTTATGGGAAGAACTTGTTTTACCGACCATTCGAAACAAATTATGGTAATTTAGGACAAATATACAATGCGGTTTGTGACAAAGGGAACTAATTAAGACTAGAAAGCAGTAATGGCGAACGCGCAATGTAACTTCCGATCTCAAATAGTTTTATAGAAAATATTTGTTTCATATGCGGTATTAGTTATCATTTAGCTAAGGCACGTATTTTGTACAATGAGACGTTTGCGTTATGACATGCACAGTACTTACCCGTCTATAAGTGGATAACTTTCCAACACACAGTTAGCTACATCTAAGTTCCTTGACGCCGAACCTTCGTGAGAGAAGCAGTCGGGTGTGGTTAGTTTACAGGGTGTAGCTGGCGTCGATACTGATGGTGTCGTGTTCTCTACCACGTGATCTTTGCCGGCAACGATACCCAAAGCAATAGCCAGAGCGACTATGACAATTATAGCAACAACGGCCAGGGAGACTGACCAGCGACTCAACGTGGACTTCTGTTTGAACGAGAGTTGTGAAACCAATTCAGAACGCGATTCACCAGTATTACCACTCATCCGCAACTCAGCCATGTCGAAAAATCAGAACAACTTCTCAAATGAAAAGATCGCCCACAAATCGTGAACTCGATTAATAATCGATACTTGTAAGCAGCTTAAATATTTCAGAACAACCACCCACTGCGCAGAGACTCTCGCAGATATCTCGTTCCGATTATGCGACAAAACGCCCCATAGGGTAGTGTGACCTGGTTACTACCGAGTTACGACGTGTGGCGCCTCCCAAGTATACCCCATATGCATTATACGACCCTATTAGTACCACTCGGCGGCTCATGACGGAGCATAGACAAATATGTACGTACACTTAAGAAGACGGGGCCTGGTGTACCTGTGATATTTGTGAGTCACAAAAGCTTGAAACATTTACATAATTATGCAATATTACAGCAACCTTAAGACGAATTTACAAATATATCACAAAAACTATGTACCACTAATAAACATATCTACTTCAGTGAATTATATACAGCATACTTTACCGTGTTAGATCGCCGTAGCTGTAGTAGTGGCTGATCTTCAGACATATCCATGCCTGTAACGTATTGATGTCGATTTTTAAATGGAACTCGAGGTAAAAAAGTGGAATGTCTGAAAATTCAATTTTATAATTTTAAGTAAATCAGAAACAGCCACAAAAGGAATTGAGATAAACAAGAAACAGTCAACACATGCGTGGTACTATTAAGGAATATTTACGGTGAGATGATGCAGGGTCAACTAGATAAACCAAATATTCAAATTAACTTTTCTTTTTCAGCGTGCGTGATACATTTCTTCGTTTCACAACTTTTTATTTGTGATTCTTCAGGCAGCTGTCGTATTTTCCTTGTTAACCTGGGTATGTTTAATGTGGAAAGGATTACATATGCCTTATAATTTGTTATTTGTTTTGTCAATAAACAATAAATGGGAATAACCAAAGAAGATGCATCGTGCTCGCCGTCTGGGTTTGAACATCCACTCTGATGAATTTGAGCGAAGCTTTTGTATGGCTGGTTAAAGTCAACAACTTGACAAAAATCGCATGAATAAAGACCCTATCTCCTATTTTGGGTCTGAAAACCCATAAATTTCCATCTACAGTTGCCATTTGGTTTCATTTCGGAAAACGATAAAACGATATAATGATATCGTCTGCCGTAACATCGTGTAGTATTAGCAATAAACAGCTGTTTCATGCTATAATGTTTATTTCAATCAATCAAAAGCATGAATCGATCGACATCGCTCGTTAACACATGAAATGAACACTCCACTGACTTTCAAACCCTCTTGCAAGTCCCCTTCATGGAAAATATCGGTGGAGCATTCTGATCTTGAGTTCTACAGGGTTTTAGTACATCTTGAGGTTATCTAGAAATTTTATTCGTTCGTTCGTTATAAAGTGTTACCTTCACCCGATAAAGGAAGCCAATCCAACGGTTCGCTTGTTGACATTTGCAGAGCGTTGCACGTGCATAATCTGTTCGAAATTCTACTGCGTCTTCGATGTAACAATACTTCTCATTAGTTAATGATTTAATGTTAGACGATAGACAATGCGTGTAGATACATTATTTTTTCAACAAAGCATGCACGTGCTTCGCTCTTTCAAAAGCCTCCCCTGCAAATGTAAATTAGCGAGCCGCTGGACTGGTTTCCTTCGTAGAATGACGTTACACGCATTCACTTTTTATCTACATGACAATTTGCTGACAAAAGAACCAACACAAACACAACTTTAACTTCAAAATCTACTAAAACCTAATAATCTCAGGTCAGAATGTTCCGCCAAAGGTACCGCGAAGGTGACTTAACAGCGTGTATGTAAGTCTGTCAAGTGTTCATTTCAGGTGATGACGGGCGATGTTTGAAATAAACACATGGTAAAAAGCATGATGTCACTGTTTATTGTTTATCGTCTGTCAATCAACTGCCGACTAATAATGAAGTTTGGCACATGCAATTTATACATGTACCAAGCAGACGATTTTCACCAGGAATATACAAAATCGCTTAATTTGCCCTTGGTAGGCGGTCAAGGTCAGAGAGCGGCAACGTTGTATCTTCTTTACGATCAATGGTTAAAGTACGAGGGATATATATCCTTCCAAACTACATTCAGGTAAAACAGGTAGAATATACCTGTAACATACAAACCTGTGTTCCCTACATATATACACAGTAGAGTATACCGGTAACATACAAACCTGAGTTCCCTACCTATATACACAGTAGAGTATACCTACAACATACAAACCTGAGTTCCCTACCTATATACACAGTAGAATTCCCGTAACATACAAACCTGGGTACCTTACCTATATACACAGTAGAATTCCTGTAACATACAAACCTGAGTTCCCTACCTATATACACAGTAGAATTCCTGTAACATACAAACCTTTGTTCCCTTTCCTGTATACACAGTAGAATTCCTGTAACATACAAACCTGGGTTCCCTTTCCTGTATACACAGTAGAATTCCTGTTACATACACACCTGGGTCCCTTTCCTGTATACACAGTAGAATTCCTATAACATACAAACCTAGGTTCCCATTCCTGTATACACATACAAAATATTCCTGTAACATTCAAACCTAGGTTTCCATTCCTGTATACACATACAAAATATTCCTGTAACATTCAAACCTAGGTTCCCTTTCCTGTATACACAGTAGAATATTCATGTAACATATTTACCAGGGTTCCCTTTCCTGTATACACAGTTGAATATTCCTGAAACATACAAACAGGATTTCTCTTCCCTGTATACACAGTAGAGTACTAAGTAACATATGTCCCGAACTTTTCCCTCCGTTATAAATGATAACTAGATCATCATTCCCATTATATAGACCTAGCTATATCTCCGCCATGAACAAAGAACTTCAAACGTGATCGTGAATTTTGATCTTGTTAAACACAGGCATGAATAGTACACAAACAGATGTATTATGCTAGTACCGACCAGAGTTGAGAATGTAAAATTAGAAGGAGGGATGATACACTATATAACAATATTACGGATATTTCTATATGATGCTTTGCGGCTTCATGAGCGGTCGTCATGTGACCTTGCTCCCACCACACATCCCTATCCCCTCCCACCACACATCCCCTATCACCTCCCACCAGACATCCCCTATCCCCTCCCACCACACCCTTACCCCCTCCTACCACATATTCCCTATCCCCTCCCACCACACACACACTATCCCCTCCCACCATCCCTCCTTGGGGAGTTATGGGTAACTTTTGGCCTCATAAAAAGTGAAAATTTCAACTTGAATTTATTAACCAATTACTGTTATAAATATCATATTGGTTAATTGGGGCAATCTGTCTTGGTGAAGATTTTTTTTCCAATGCGCAAGCGTAGAAGCCCTACCATAGCAACAAAATTGCGTTGCTATGCAGAAATAACCAAAATATGGAGTTTTTGAACAGTAAGCATGCAGAAATAAAAGCATTCGCAAGTGACAAAAAAAATATCCTTTCTACGAATGAACACTGGTTTGACAACGTTTAAGCATGGCAAATATTTATTTGTTTGTTCCATGCGGAGGCTTTCACAAATTAATGAGCGTTTCGTTAATTTCCTTCAAAATGGTAAAGTTTCAACCAAATAGCACACAACAGACGATATTCACTCGTTTTATTATGAAAATTCAGGTTTATGTACCCTTTGAAATGCCATATCTCTTAAAACAATTGACAAATGAATTTGAAATTTCATATTTGCGTACTTCATTAATTCCAGATGACGAATATAACAACTAATCCTAAATCCCCGATGAGGCCGGAAATGGCCCTTAACGCCCCAAGTCCTTTACTCCTGGAGTTTTAATCTACAACATACATTACAGCTTTCTGGTTCTCAATTCTGACCTTGAGTCATTTAGGTTTGAAGTTTCACAATAAAGCTCAAGTTTGTCTGTATTACTTGGCTTACACAGAGGCCTGGGCCGTAATAACAGGAACTATCCAAATCATGGCAACAACACTGGACATATATTACTACAAAATCCATATGGAGAATGCCCAGCTGGAAAACGAAAAAGGCTTGATATAAGTCTATTTGCTTGTGACAAATCGTTTAACTTGAAAGCAGCATAACGCGTAACATACCACACAAGACTAGTAGAAAGAAAGACGGTTGCCCATGGGTTACAAAGGAGCTGGAAAGACAGATAGTATAAAAGAAAAAAAATCATGATGTGAGGAAGATAATCTCAAATATAAAGATCTTAAGCAGGAAACACAGAGACAACTACGAAGAGCATACTGGAAATATGTAGAGAATATAGAAACACCAAAGACTACAGAGCAGAGTGAAAACAACAAGTACGGATGTATGAACAGATTGTGGACGTGCATCAAACATAAACGCTCGGACGGAAACAACATACCACCTCTTAAAGATGTAGGACTGCTCCACCCAAACTCGGTCGACAAAGCCAATATTCTTAATAACCAATTTAAGAAAGCGTTCTCGTCTGGAACAACACTCAATCAAACTGAGTTTGTAGATCGATGCAAAATGTTGGGAGACTTTCCACCTATTGATGACATACACATAACCGAAATGGAGTCTATAAACTTCTGCATAACCTGAAGGTAAAGAAAGCTGCTGGACCAGACCATTTAACACCAAAAACCTGAGGGAACTTGCAGCAGACATAGCACCAATACTTACCATCATATTTAACAACTCATACAACACAGGGGTAGTACCATCTATATGGCGCACTGCGTTAGTATGCCCGATATATAAGAAAGGAAAGAAATTTTAGGCCATCAACTATAGACCAGTATCACCGACATGTGTAGTATGTAAGATCATGGAACACATAGTAACTAGTCACATCATGGAGCATGCTGATTGCAACAGTATATTATACAACCTGCAACATGGATTTCGCAAAGGGCTATCCTGCGACACTCAGCTGGTGGAGTTCATAGATGATATTACTAGAAACATCGATGAAGGTAAACAAACACCTTGTTTGATTATGGACTTTAGTAAAGCCTTTGATAAGGTCAGCCACAGTCTCTTGACACATAAGCTACATCACTATGGAATCAAAGACAAGACAAACAGATGGAAAGAGAGCTTCTTAGGAAACAGGAAACAGGCTGTATGAGTCCCTCAAGGCTCGGTTCTTGGTCCCAGCCTGTTCCTATATTATACAAATGACCTTCCAGAGAATATAAGATCCAAAGCTCGCCTATTTGCAGATGATACTATCATGTACCTGACGATAACATCACAGGAAGACGGTGAGCATCTCCAGGAAGATCTTGACAGTCTAGGTCAATGGGAAACCACCTGGATGATGAATTTCCACCCTGACAATTGTAATGTCATTACAACCTCCAA